ATAGGAAAAATATTACTAGAATTAGAATTACAAGATATAGGGCGATGAATCAATTTTTTGTTTTTGAAAGCTAAGGTGAACCATTCACGTATTTTATAAACCAATTATGCTCTCCATTTAATATTTGATCGCGAATAAAGGATTTTAAATCATTTAGCAATTTTCGTTGGTAAAGTGTTAAATCAATAGATATGCCTACTTTATTCTATTTTACATTATTACGCATTTTCTGTTTACATTTCAAAACCGAATGAACTTCATTAGCATTTAATAGTTAAATTAAAACTGGTCTTGGTTTTGCATTAAATTTACCAATACGTTTACAGGAAGATACTGTGATAGTTAAAAATCATTAATGAAATGATGAATACAGTTAATTAATATAATAAAATAGTGTTATAATTGATTACTGTATATTAACGAATAATTATTACAATAAAGTACCTCGAAATATATCCGACTTTTGATAAAATAGGTACATAAAGGTAAGGAAGGGAGCTTTGAACTAGAACAACCCCAGTTATATAACTGGTATGAGCCCTTAAATTATTTTTTTGGAGGGCTAAGAAGAGCGATTCTAATTTTCGGACGTAAAATCTTTTTTGCCTCTCTTTATTAGTGCATATTATTATAACATTTAATCAATTTAGTTAAAAAATATAGGGGTACGTGTCACTGATGATAGGATTCGTCATTAAACTAGCTATTATTATTATTATTATTAACACTACACTATTATTATTCGTCTAATACTTAAGCGAATAATTTTTCACTTCTATTTTAAATATAAGAAAAAACTTGTGTACACGATAAAAGATAATTTATTTTGTGCGTTTGAGAAGCGATAAAGATTTCTACATTAAAATCTAGACTAGATATAATTTTAAAATAAATTAATAAAATATTTTTACTAATTAACAGTAGTGATGATACACAAGTTACAGCATAAAATAAATTAAATGGACTAGACATCTTTGTTACTTTATTAATAACCAAGAAAAATGTATTAAATGTTAGTTAACAAGTGATAAGTACATATTTTTAAGGGGAATGACAATTATTTAATATTATATAATGTTTAACTACTAATAAATAAAATGTCAAAGAATAACACTTGTGAAAAATAATGGAGTGCATTGTTAAAAATATGTGAAGTCTAATTTTGTAACAATTTCATTGTAATTATTATTAAAAAAGGTATGACTATTCAGATATTTTTTTTCAAGGAAATATCAAACTGATTTCAATAAATGTATATAAGATTTTAAAGAAAAAGGAATTTAAATCAAAATTTTTTTACTCCTTAATATTTTTAACTTTTCTTTGAGCACCACTGGAGATTATAATAGTTTTACTAATAATTTAACATTGATTATAAAACTCATGCCACGAAATTAAAATCGTTTAACGATGAGTTAATATATTTTTACTTTTAGACAACACACAGAATTTTTAAATAAGAAAAAATTAATTCTACTTATATATAACCAAAACTTACTCATTCTTAGCATAACTTATATTAGAACTTGTAGCAAAACTTACATTGTTTAATATTATTTTAATTTTTTTATATAAAAGTTAAAGATTATTTTAGTAGTTCATTTTCAATTAAAATTGCTGAAAGAAAAATAAATTATAATCCAATGAGTCAAAACAAACCTATTGGAAGAAACTTCCAGAAAGTAATAAGACTAAAAAAATTACTGCATTGAAGTTAGATATACTATGTATTTTTTATACTTAGATATCCTAATGCAGCACAGGGAAAAATCCAGTCATCCCCAAGAATGATGAGGCATACATGGAAAAAATTTCTTTTTTAACTTTGAGGTCCTATTGCACTACACCCAAAATTATTGAATAGACCTCAAGGGTTCTCAGTTTATGGGTTCAGCATCCGAACAAATAATAAGATATTATTTTAACTCTTCCCGAAGACATTTATCCATATTATCAAATTAGACATAGGACACCCAATTTTATATTGTACAAATACTAATAATTTTATATTTATATTAGTCATTATTTTTTAATAATACACACTTAGGAATTAATAAAATTGCACATTACAATTTTTACAGCACATATTTTTTATAGAAAAATTAGTTTTTAAATGGATCTCTTATATATTAAAAAATAAGTTACGGTTGTATAAAATGTTGTGGATCAACAGAAAAAACAGTTAACTAACAGTTTTTTGATTTGATGAAAATATTTTGTAATTATTGGATAATTAAGAAATAAAATTCTCAAAAATAAATGTATATTCTAACAATAGAGAAAACTTTTTTAAAATGTACATTTATATAAAAAATTATTAATTTTATGTTACTTAATGAATGACTATTATCATTCGAGTATTAATAACAATTGTCAAATGTGACAAATTGTATCAGAAAATAATAAGCAATATGTATATTATTGTATAATAACTTTAGTAGCAAATAAATGCTAATTTAGTAGAACATTTTAATTTTAATTTTACTATAATATTAATAATAATATAATCAGAATATAATATAACTTTCGATGCATAATCAAACTATCGATAATGTCGGAGTTTTTACCGTCTCTTTTTTTAAATTTAATGTCTGAGTAAATCCGTCGATATTTTGGTAATTTATGGTATCAGATGGTCGGAGTACCAGATGTTCGTAACAATTACTACTTTGTCAAATGTTGAAGTATGTAAATGTCGGAGCATTATCAGTTCACGGCAATGGTGCTTTCCCATTAATAATATGTAGTAAATAGCTGAATAACATCGATTTTAGTATAATACGGGGTTCAAAACAATAGTAAGCAATTTTTAAATTCTCAAGCAATACAATAATGTCATATAGAAGGGAAATTCAGGGTAAGCAAATTAATAATGGCGGGAAAAAGAATATAAAAGGGAAACATGAAAAGGATACGAGGCTGGTCGTTTTTGACGAATAAACGTCGAGTGATGGGTCAGGAGGTTGGACGCGATTATCTTTGTACGATTTAATTTTGTTTTGTGTTATATTTTAATATTACTTTTTAACTTTGTGTTTAATTCGTTTCTTAAATAAAATAACTATTTAAAAACTGGACTTAGCGTAAATAATTTATATTCACCGTGTTCTTAGAATTTGTGTGTGTCTGTGCGGCTAGAGCCAAGTTTGGACTGCTGATCCTTTAGTCAATCTTAATAATTAGTGTACGAGCTGGCTAGTTTTTGGGCTTAACCGTCCTTTAGTCATAAGGAGCCACCCTTCAGTCTTCTACTTTTGAGCTAGACTGTGGTGACGGGTCTAAACTCTAACCCTTTAGTAGTCCACTCATTAGAGGGATTGGGGCTAATCAGTTTATCCAACGGAAGGACTCGAGAAGAGCTTGAACGACGAACTCATCGTCAATATATATTTATATTTATATATATATATATAACATTAATTAATTAATCGTACGTCGGTACGACAAATAATAATGTATTAAATTTCTTAAAAAATGATATAATATAATGGACATCTTATATTTTTTATTGATGTGTAGACCAAATGTATATAGAATATATGATGCGCAGAGGGGAGGTTTGTTTTTTGGTCGGAGTAAAGTTTTAAATATACACCAGTACAAGGTTATAACCACCTGCATTACATACCCACTCAATATATTAAAACTCAAAAGTTATTATCGACCTATCAAAATTTTATTTAAAAAGAGTACTAAAGAATAGCTCTTTTGTACATTTTTTAAAATTTCAAAATTTCAAAATTAAAAAAAATATACGTATATTTTTTTCTTATTGAAAAAAAAAATAAATGTTTTAAACATAGTCCAAAACCTCAATAATTAAAAAAAAAATAAGTATTAAAAAATATTGAAAACATCAAAAGTTATTGCATTTGTCATATCATCGTGACTCAACCAATATATACTGTTAACCTTAAACAAAAATCATATGTCCTTTACTCATGCGACACACCCTTAATCCGAATCCCGAATCATACATGCGATTTGCGAATCGAGAACCGTAAAAAACCAAAACTATACTTAATGTATGTTCGATTCAATTGACTCAAAATATCTTTTAGATCGCGAACGGGTCTTTGAACCGGTTTTTCTAGTTGACCTGATCCGAATGAATCGGATCACTTAGGTGAACCATAATTCCCATCCCCAATTTATATTATCAGGAGAAAGCGGAATAAATTGTTGTGAAGGACAAAATGAATAACATGAATTAAAAAATCATTAGAATTTTTTATTTTTAAATAATAGAAATTTCAAAATTCATTATAATCTCCCGCTATATACTATTTTTGTAATCAATTTCTATATTATTTCGATTATAGCCGTATTATGTTTTTAAGTTTAAAACTATTATTTTGTTTAATACAGAGGACATCGTGTGTCTTGTAATCAGTGACTTATTAGTTTGTTGAAGATTTAAAATAGAATTACGCTATCTAATTACTAAATAGGTCAATTTAAATTTTTATGTGTAGTGTTTTCCAATTGAAGAATTGGAAATTAAAAATTTAATTAAACAGTTTAACAATTAATATTAAACATTTAATTATTGGAATTTTTATGAAATATTGTTTTACGTGTTAATTGTTTTAAGACATATACTGAATGTACAGCTATTTCAATTCGTTTGTTTTTACCCTATTATATTCCAGTCTTGGGTAATTGTTGTTCCTGATTACGTGCGTAGGGGACATAGGTGGAAATAAACTTCTCGTTTTGTTAACGGTAGGTAAAAAATTGAATGGTATGAATTCGAAATCTAAGTGTGTGGCGAAGAGCTATGATGCAGCGACGCTGGGGCAGTAGCTATTATACGCAAATATACAAAACACCTAGGGGTTGAGCCTAAATGTTCGTTAACAGTATTCTAAGGGACCAAGGGGGGATAGCTGGCTAGGCTATATCTACATAAGGTACTGAGGTTTCCTATTTTATTTATATTCCTTTAGAGGAACTACCAAGGGTCACACTACAATATATATATATATATAACACATTGGTTAACAACGATATAAATATTTATTAAGTAAAGATACATTAAATAAATTGTACAACCTGCTGGACACCTAGAGATGATATAATCCAACAGGGAGCTGACGGCAACATACACACATACACTATTAACGTGGTAGATAAGATAAGTTAAATATAAGACAAGAGTAATGGTCGCGATGATGGTAAATAGTCGACTGTCGTTAGGGATATATCATTATGGCCGTGAATTATAAAAGTGTTTATGTGTGCAGTCTGCCCTCCTGTAGTAATACGTGTGTCACTGTGTCAACGATATAAGCCTAGTCGGCGTTACAATAATAATATGAGATACGATCACATTATGTGATCGTATTAGCTGCTCCTCCTACATTCTAGGTCAGACCTCAGGCCTTAACAAAATAAAACAATTTTGGGATAATTAAAAAAAGTGTAATCTAAAATAAAGTTATTTGGAGAGACATAAGCATCTTAGTAAGAACCTCTGGATATTCGATGTCCATACTCCTAAGTTCGTAAGCTTTTGAGCTTTGGAGGAGCTTCCATCACGTGGGCTCTCAATCGTCGGCTACCAAGCGGTTCCTATGAGAAGTCCGGCCCTGTCGTCAACTTCTTGAATAGTCTCGGGGCCCCAAAGTAATACCATCAATGTTCTCAAGGTCTGTTCAGAATGCTAATGTTTATTATGTGACATATAAAAGGGTTGTGAGGAGCCCGAATATAATCGTTAGCAATGCATGCACAAAAAAAATGTTAGATTTTTAAAAGAGATAATATAATATTTGACAATTAAAAATAGTTAAATTATCCTAATGTATGTAGCCAAAACGTTGTCAAAAACTTGCATACATTTACAATAGGTGCCTTAATTTAAGTTAAACATGCATGCTAGAAGAATTAATGTATATAAATTGAATACACGTAAAAAAAAAAAACACACAGTGACCATCTCATAAAAGTCAGTGTCCAGTAATTTATAATGAAAAACATACATTTAGGGCATGTTGAAGTTGGCTGACTTGCGCCTATTGCGGGACGTTTCAAATTATTTAAGATTTATCTTAGTCTAAAGGTAACGGGTGTTTAAACTGCCGTACTAAGCAAAAACAGGATAACTCCAAAATTAAAATTTTTTTTTTTTTTTGTTTCTATAGGTAAATTTAGTGGTTATACACCGATTTTTTATGTAAAAATAGCATATTTCCTATTAAAACCCATTTAAATTGAAATATAAAATAAGAAAATATACGGTAAGTTCTATACATATTATATATATTACATATTATATATTTGATGTTTTGTAAACGAAAACACGGTAAATCCAAAGACTTGGTATATCACATAAAAAATAATGAATTTACCGTCTTTTGGCTTATGTTTATACATTGAGGAAAAAGGGTACCTTGATTTAGTGTTAAAAATGTTTTTTTGTGTTCCTGAAAAATCATGTTGACTAGAGTTATCCTGTTTTCGCTTAGCACGGCAGTAAAGTGACCTATAACTAGTGCTGCAACAAATCAAGTTTACCATTAATGAATAAATTGGTGATGAAATGTGCGTGTCAAATGTAATGTTTAAAAAAATGTCTAACAGTATTAACTGGCTGGCTCTATTAGTAACAATTGCTATTTTATGAGTAATGCGTATTTAATGAAGTCATAATATGTCATACAAAGAAATTTACTGTTATAAACAGTTACAATGGTTTACCATTATAAAAATATGTCTATCTAATCGAACAGAATAATTATAAGCCATAAGTATCAAATAAAATAATTCAAAAATGCCATAACGTTATGTAGTGGTCTGGTCGAAAATAATAATATATATATATATATATATGCCACAAAGTAAATTATTTAACGGACTTGCGGAAAATAATAATAAAATATATCGGATTTACAGAAAATAATAATAATTCAAATATTCCATAATAAAATAAATTGGACTTGACGACTATAATAAATAGACAATGCTGTAATGTGGACGGGGCCCCAAAATAATAATATAACAATACTATATATTTCAATAGTAATAGTAATAAGGAATTAATTTTATAGCTAGAAATTACTCATCCAATGGGATGAGTCACCAAAGGGAGGATAGAACATAAATATGTACGATTTGTAGTAATTTGATGTCTCGGTGATCAAGCACTACATACGAAATTACACGAAGATGTTAAGGCTTGTGATTTGAATGTTCTATAAGATAGGGACTGTGGCTCAAAATAAAACAACAAAAGTCATAGTAATGGTCGTGGTTTGAATGTGACATTAACCGTGGCTGTGGCGTTGGTGGTGACTGGCTATGAATGGCTGTGAAAAATGGCGAGATGGCAAAATTGTAACCAGGCGAATGCAACTATACACTATAGAGGTTAATAATTGACCTAGTTACTCGACTACTTGATTATCTGACTCAAATATAAATAAGGGAAATAAAGTTTGGAAATATTGAAATGAATAGTTATACACGAGTAAGTATGCAATAATCAAATTTTTATTCAAAATATATTGATATTTAAATAATTATATTTTTCAAGGGGAATGATCGAGATGTACATCATAATTTAAAATAGAGAGGTCCTGTGACAGCGAAGAAGTCTTTGATAGAATTATTGATTAAGATGACCCGTCGAATTAATCCATTTTAATGAATAATTAATGACTTTTAATATAAGTAATTTTAAGCAATTTTTAGAATATATGATTATATATAAGTAATTATTATATAAAAGTAACACGATTGTCCCTAATAATCCTTGTAACCGACAGAGGGTAATTTTAAAATCGAAGCGTGTCTAGATTTTTAAAATGTAACTCTAAAGAATTAATCGGATTTATTGAATATTTTCGACAATCGCTACTGGAGTAAAATATTAGTATCAATAGCAATAACAACAAATTTTTCTAGAGTCATTTAAACCATATTAATTTATGTAATAATTAATAAAAATCAATAGTTCAAATAATATCTTAACTAATGGATCTTTTAAAATGTTTGTATTATAATCCTACATTTACTTTAATTCTAAATTCCAAGAAGAACGACACTATAAAAAAGAGATGTTTAATAAAAGAAAAGAAAATTAATGAAAATGAAATAAGATTAATAACGGACTGCCAAGAAGAAATGGATAAATACAAATATTATATGAATACAAAAAATATTGTAGGAAGATACAACTGATCGAACAATAAAGTTAAAAAGAGAATATGATGAATAGTGTGTGAGTTGATTGATGAAATTGTACAAAAGTTATGTTTTAATTAAATGCCATTACCAATTTTGGACTGATAAAGTAGCATTACATTTAAAAGATAAAGAAGCTGACATTGAACGTTCAGCTACATATAAAAAATTATGTAATACAGAAAATGAAGAATTTGTAGACAATGCATTCAAAACTATAGAAAAATGCAAAAAAGATGGGAAACCAATAATACCTCTTCTTAAAGCATTGGAGGTTTAAAATTAAAAATTTGTGTTTTATATTTTTGTATTTAATTTTATAAATTATATTAAATAACATTAAAACTATATTAAAAATATTACAAACAACACATACGGTATATGTTTAGTGTTGATAATAACATTGTTTCTGAAATACGTTACTTTTTAGTAACTTTTTGTGGCTTTTAAGTTTAATATTTATTAGTTTTTAAATTAATAATATTTTTAATATAGTTTTAATTTTATTTAATTAATTAGCCACAAGTGATAAATTTTTATTATATATTTATAAATTATAAACTTAGACAAAATAATATTCATTTTAAATTAAAGTAAAATATAAATACAAATAGTTAATAAAAAAATTTAAGTAAATGGTACTTATCAAGTCTTAACATTTGATCCATGATACTTTTTTTTTGGTAAATTAAGAATTAAGTTTACAAAAAATCATTGTTTTTTCTTTTTCGCTGAATTTATTATTTAAAAATTTAGCATTGTTTTGAAAATCTATCACTTCCTTTTGTAATGCTTTCTAAAAATAAAATAATAATAAACATTAGTCTATTTTTTTTAATTTATTAAATTATTTTTTAACCTTTGATTTACAAAGATCAATATTTTCTTCTACTAGTTTTAGCTTCGATGCGAAGCTGAGAAGGTATTGGTTTTACTATGATATGTTTTTTTTTTTTTTTTTTTTTTTTTTTTTTTT